CCTCCCTCCCAGCGGTCCTGCACGCGGATGATCGTCTAGTGATCGGATCAATCGATCGATGAAGGTGCTCTGCTCTGCGTGCGAGGCCGCCGAGGCGCGCGTACTCTGCTGCGCCGACGAGGCCGCCCTCTGCGCGCGCTGCGACCGCGACGTGCACGACGCCAACCGCCTCGCCGGCAAGCACCACCGCCTGCCCCTCCTCTCCGCCGCCTCCAACCCGCCCGCCGTGTCCGCGCCAAACTGTGACATATGCCAGGTGCTTGAATTTGTTGCTCCCTCGTCTCCCGCAAATCTTGGCCCATCTTTTTAACCCGGGCGGTGATCTGACGAGTACGTCCTCTGTTTCTGCCACGACAGGAGGGCCACGCCTACTTCTTCTGCGTGGAGGACCGCGCGCTGCTCTGCCGGAGCTGCGACGTCGCCGTGCACACCGCCAACGCCTTCGTCTCCGCGCACCGGAGGTTCCTCCTCACCGGCGTCCAGGTCAGTCTCGAGCCCGACGAACAAGAAGAACCAGTGCCAGAGCCGGAGCCCGAGCCGCAACCGCCCAACAACGCCTCGTCGGCTCCCCTGCCACCGCCGATGTGCCACAGGAAGAGGAGCCCGACGCCGCTCTACAGCGACGGAGATATCGACTGGGCGGCCGGCCCGGACGTCGGCATCACCGGGAACTTGCCCGACTGGTCGGTCATCGATGAGCAGTTCGGCAGCGGTACCCCGGCGTTGAGGCCCGCGGAGCCGGAGGTAATCAAAGCCCCTCCGAGGAAGAGTCCCCGGGTGGCCGTCACGGCGGCGAGCGCGGCACTTTTTGGCGGGAGCATGCCGGACTGGCCGCTGGACGAGTTCTTCGGGTTCACCGAGTTCAACTCCGGCTTCGGATTCGCAGAAAATGGCACGTCCAAGGTCAGTACTAATTCACCCAGAACCAAATTTGAATTACAAATTGTGCAGTCGCAGTATTAGCACTTAGCTGTTACTCTAGTTACTTTATCAGGGAAAAAAATCAGTTCAAAGTACTAAAATAGTAATTCTGGCAACCTGTCTCATGATCTTGAGTCAAGCAATTTATCTGATCTGCATCCTGGAACGTTAATCCATAGTCAGATCAGGTTAATCATGTCATGTAATCTTACTTCCACCGGCAATTTGCCGGCTTAAAACCTGAAGTGATGCATCACACAAGGTATTTCACGATTAACATGTTTCTGAAAACACAAAAAAGTGACTGAACGATCTATCTATGCCTGAACAGCTCGCTCCAGTATATAGTAGCTAGCCTGTCCACTGTCCAGTAACCTAACAGTGCTGATTCATTTGCAGGCCGACAGCGGGAAGCTCAGCTCGCCGAACCGCCGTTCGATGTCGTCGTCCTCCTCCGGCAACGCCACCCAAAACGCGCAAGATTTCTTCGGCCAGGTGCCGGAGGTCCACTGGTCGAGGTCGACCATGCCGGAGCTCCCCTCCCCGCCCACGGCCTCAGGCCTCCACTGGCAGGGAGACCCGCACTACGGCCCTGCCTCCGACTCCGCGGCCGTGTTCGTGCCCGACATCTGCTCCCCGGAGAACCCCTTCCGGTGCTTCACGGCCGGCGCCGATCAGCAGCTCAAGCGCCGGCGGCGATGCTAACATGGCAACAGCGGAGACGCTCGCCGTCGGTCGATCAGGTCGTGCCGGGACTAGATTGCAGCTCGCGCGCCTGGAAGCTGAAACTAGCGTGCAGAAGAGAAGACTGAAGAAGGAGATGGTTGCTACTAATAGATGGGCTAGTGGTTAGTATGATACTACGATCCATATGCATATACCGCAGATCTGCAGTAGCTCTGGGACTGATTAGTTGTTAATTACGGGGTCTGTTTGTGCAACGTTGCTTGTAATTGTGAGTTTAGCTCGGGATGTTAAACGAAAACAGTGGTAAAAACTAAGGAAGAAAATAAAAATAGTGAGAGTGCAATGGATGGCACTAGAAGTTTGGAACGGACGATTTCGCAGTGGAGTGTTTTCAGCTGGTCTGTTGGGCTGTCAGAAGGATCATTATGTGATGTATGATGTATCAGCTCGATCTGTAAACGCTGTACCTTCTGCTGACTTTGTTAACTGAGAGCGTTGAGTTCTGTTTTGCGATAATTGTCCTGACTTTGCAAGCGATCGCCGTTCCCACGTGCGTGTTGGATTAAAGATGGGGTTGTTATGATTGGATCAAATGGTAAGCTTGCAAGTTAAAACTCCTGCTAATTAACTCTGTTCTGACTTTGGTCTCAGTGCAAGTGTAAATGTTGGGAATTTTTTGCCCAAACAACCATAGCGGTGGAGCGACCCTCATGCATGTCTACCTTTTTCGGCTGACATTTGGTGAAATTACTAGAAGCAAAAGGCGTCTCTTGCTGCGGCGTTTTTCTTTATCATGTTAAAAGTATCAGATCAATTTCATTGCTCCAATCATCAAACCTTTGCTTCCCCATTGAACAACCTTAACTCCCCCATAACCTAACAAATATATTCACATACAACCTTGACTTATCAATTATAGGCACCATGCTCCTGTTAGCTAAAAGATATAGTTAATTATAAGATGGAAATCCCTTTTGGAGCTCGGCCTCCAAATTCAAATTTGAAATTTCATCAAAATTCATATTTTTACATTTCAAAAAATTCTGAAAAAATACAGATGTACATGAAGGCATAACACACATGTGTGTAAAATTTCAGTTCAAAATACATTGAAATGAGGGCTGTGCAAAAACGACAAATCTGGGGCTGTTTAATACATGATACTATTCAGCTTCCCAGGCCATGAATTTGTCTTTTTTGTACAGGTCGCAACTCAAAGTATTTCATCATGAATTTTTACACACATGTGGATTACGTCCTTACATACACGCATATTTTTTTTAGAATTTTTTGAACCATAAAAGTTTGAATTTGAATTTTTCAAAAATAAAGGCCTCCATGGAGCTCGGCCTCCAGAACGCCTCTCTCATTATAAGACTCATATATAGCATTCTCAACAACAACAAAAAGATCAAATCTAGCATCTATGGATCAAAGTCTATTTGTCAAGTTTTGCCATAATTGCATAACTGACATGACTGTCATTATGTGATCTCAATGCTACCATTTTAATCTGGAATCATAATCTAGCAAAAGGAGAATAGTCCGCTTGTCTCTTGGCGAGGCACCCTAGCGACGCCGCCGCCACATAGCAGCACCGCCGCCCGCTGCTTCCTCCCTTCCTCTCCTCTTCGTCGCTCCCCGCGAGGACGGCCGAGGGGCCCCAATCTCAGCCGCCAGTCACTCCCCCTCCAATCCCCCCTTCCGCCGCCGCTGCAGGAAGCCGCTGGCTAAGCCCGTGTGGCTGACGGCGGTGGCAGAGGAGCCTTGTAACACCCTGAGACCTATGCGCCAGGTGTTTTCCAGTTATCGCTACCGTTGCCATGTCTTTTGCTTGCATGTTGCACTTTGCCATGTCATCATGTGCACTTCATTTGTATGTTTTTCAAAACTTGCATCCGTTCGGGTCCTCCCAGTTCTCTCTGTTGTCCGTTCTAAGCCCCGACACACTCGCACGCGCCCGTTGCACCTCCCATATCTTGTTTTGTGAGCCGCCGAAAAACGTTCTCGGAATGGGCCGAGAGTTGACGAGTGGTCTTGGTACATCAGCGGTAGACCGCCTGTTAAATTTCGTTCCATTTGGAGGTCGTTTGATGCCCCAACGGTTAACCGCGTTAACCAGCCGACCCCCTTTCTCTTTGCAGCCCAACACACCTCAACATAGCCCACCTAGCCCATCTAAACCCCATCTATGCTCTCCATCATTGGATCATGATCGTCTCGGCAAAAACCGCACCTCATTTGAACTCTCCTAGCTTTCTCTTTCTAAAAAAAAAACCCCTCCTCCAAAATTTCGGGCAAACCCTGGATCAAAGTTCCTCCTCGTGACCGGACTCGTCCGCCCGCCGCCGGACGCATCCACCGCCGCCAGCCACGTCATCCGGCCAATCGCGGCCTGCCACGTCACCTGGCGCCGCGCCCGCAGCCAGTTGCCTCGCACCACGTCACCCCGTCGTTCTCCCCACCGCGCCGGCCCGCCAGGCCCACCGCAGGCCCGCCAGGGCCCGGATCGCCGCCACCGCCTCCCGCGTGCCCCACGCCTCGCCTCCGCCACCACCACTCCCGCCGGTGGCCCCGGACCTCGCCGCGCCCGACCGCCGTCGCCCCACGCGCGCTTCCTCTCCTCCCGCGCGCTGCTCCACCGCTGTGCGTGCCTCCCGTCCGCAAGCGCCGCCACACGTGCAGGTCTTCCGAGCCGGCTGAATCGCTGACCCTGCCGCCGGAGTTCTACTCCTAGTCGCCCGCCACCCGGAGTCACCGTCCCCGGCCTCCCTGCTCCGCCGTATGCCCGAATCCGGTGGGGCCGCGCTCAGATCCGCCGGTCCCCGGGCGCCCCGCCGTCGACTGCCGTGTAGCCGGCTCACCGGAGTCGCGCCGCCGCACTACTAGGAAAATGCTTATAGGTAGCCATTTAGCAGTAGCGTTTGGTAAATATCCCATGCTACTGCTATTTAGCAGTAGCGCCTGACAAAACCAGCGCTGCAAGCGCATGTTAGCAGTAGCGCATGGTTTCCCGCCTAGCGCTGCTGCTAATGGGCCACGCTCTCGGCCCCTTTAGCTGTAGTGCTGGCCCCCTCCCCCACGCTACTGCTAAGCCCACCTCTGCTTCTCCCTATGCCGGCCCACGCCCCCCTCTCTCTCTCTCACTCACTCAAAATCACGCTCACACTCTCCCTCAATCCCCGCTCGATCCGATCGCCGCCCCTGCCTATGCCGGCCCTCCTCCCCCACCGGCCGGCCTCCCACGCACCGACCCTCCTCCCCCGACGGCCGCCCTCCCCCGCGCCGGTCCTCCTCCTCCAGCGAGAGGTACTCCTCCCTCCTTCCTCCTCCTTCCTCCCTCCCTAGCTATAGTTACTAGAGAGTAGATATTTTGAACCCAATGTAGTTGAAAAAAATGTAGGTTCTTAGAATAATGTATGTTATGATCGAACCCTAGCTAGGACATATTAAGTAGTATGAACCCTAGGATTTTAAATTAGCTAGGTTTTTAAATTAGGACAACAATTTAGCTAGGTTTTTAAATTAGGACAGAAACTTATCTAGGTTAATAGAATTTAGGTGTTTTAGGTGTATTTAACAGAATTCTAGGTGTTTTAGTTGTTTTAGGTGTAGTTAACAAATTCTAGGTATTTATTTAGTTAAAGCAATTGATGTTATTTTTTTAGTTAAAGCAATTTTTCGTGTTATATGCAAATTTGCAGTGGACATGTCATATTTTGAACATGTCACATTTTGGACATGTCATATTTTTCCGAGTGGCCTACGTTTTGCCAGAATGTCGATTCGTTTACGTTATGGAAAATTTCAGGCGCTCGATATGTCCTGCTTTTAGCAAAGGTCATGCCAATTTTTGCTAAGTGTTTATTAATTTTGTTTTCTTAATTAAGCATTTGTTCTTGACATCGACGATGCCTGGCCCACATCCTCATCGTTGACTCGGCGGAGGAGGCTTGCTTGATTATAGGGGCCATGTCTGGGACTGGGCTCCGCCTGGCTGGTACTGGGAGGTGCTACCTTTCAGGGTGCACAGCTTGGTGAGGAGGCATCCCGTCGTCGACCCGGACCTTCTTTGGTGGCGTTCGTGTGGGCCAGTGATGGTGGGGAGGCCTTCGTCCACCGCGGAGGTGGTATCTCACTGTGTCAGCGAGGAGGATGAGCACGTCCGTCGCTACATGGTTGCGTTGGAGGGCAGGTTCGACAGTACCTGGATGGTTCTTCAGGGATCTCACTGGAGCTATGATCCTGTGATGGTTCCTTCTCTTTGGGTGTCCACTGCCCGCGCCGATACCCGTCGTTCGCTAGGGTTCTAACTGTATTAGTGATGTTATATGTATGATACTAGTCGAGATGTATTAGTGATAATATTCGATGATGTACAAACGCAAGAGATGATTTAGTTTTCTTATTGAATGCATGCTAATTTGAATACTAATTCATTTTATGATTTAGTTTTGCTTATTAAATGCACGTCTGTTTCAACTATATGAACATAGGAAATGTCTGACGACGATAGCGAAAGGGAATTCGGTATGTACGAATACTGCAAAGACAAGCGCGGCCTGTGCGATAGGCCTCACCTAGTTGGTGGTAGGCGCTTCAGCATCAAGCTGGATGAGAACTTCGAAGTGCATACAGTAAGTCACAATGACAAGTATTTTTTCGTAATTAAGCATGACTTCTGCTTCTTTTGCTTCAACTTATAATTTAAATTTTTTACTATTCTACTAGCGTATCCCCTGCCATGCGAGAATATATGTCTTGGATAAGATTGGTTTTAGTACTATGGAAACTATGGAGGGAAAAAGAGTTAACTTGAGGACCGAGCATGGTTATAGTTTTCTCGCAAAATTATACGATGCAGACACCTACACCCATTTTGAATGCAAACAATGGAGAGCACTATGCAAGGCTTATGCATTTGAGCCTGATATGCTTATCACCTTTGATATTTGTCCGGAAGATGATATTGAAGATAATATCGTCATCTGGGTCGACGTGCAGACGCCTACAGTTCT